GCTAATACTTCCTGGGGAAGCCAGGTGAAGAAAAATATGTCTCTCTGCTTAACTTACATGCTTTGACCTTTTTCCTTTGCTGTCTGAATCCTCAATAATTCAATCTGTACTGAAAAGATTATGAGGGTGCCTACAAAAATAGAATGATTCAGTCCACTATTGACTTTTGAATGGCCCCGAATGAGACATGATGCCAGTATTTAATAAGTCTGCCTGAGCGGGGCAGAAAAAATACATAGAAAGGCCTTTTTAAGTATCAAGCAAGTATGAATATTTATAAGCCAATTTTGCATATCAGTCTTATCAATCCCCCAATTTTTGGTTAGCCAATAACTCTCATGATCACAGGTATTAAAAAATTATAAATAATGGATTAGCGTACTGAATCCAGAAATGTAAGTTTTTAAAAATACATCATGATCTTGTGGGATTTATTCCACAAACTCAATATTGGTTTAGCATTTGAAAATCAGTTAATATTATTCACATTAACATTAAAAAGGAATAAAACTATATGATAATATCAGTAGATGCAGAAAATCGTTTAAAATTTAACTTATTATTATTATTAAAACAAAACATATCTTAACAAATTAGAAAAAGTGGATTCCCTTATTTATTTAAAACTATATCTATAAGAGACATACAGTTAATATTCCACTTTGAAGGAAATAAAAAATGTTTAACCCCAAAATACATTTATTTGACATATTTTCAGATGGCTGTCAGAGAACCAGCATAAGAAATAGCCCTGCAATGCTGTGGTTTGTGGGAAAAATTTACATCTGTGGACAATCTGCACTGATACATAAAGGCCTTCTCTTGTCTACATCTAGGAAGAATTAACAGAGAGCCTGGAACCGTTAAAGGTTTTCTCCCACCTTTAACTTGTTTTGCCATGATCCACTTTTTTCTGTAAATTCAGGATAGTATATAAGCTCCTGCACCTCACTGAGGGGCTGGGCAATCACACATTTTGTATGTGTTTTCTCCTATTAATCTGCCTCTGTGAGTTGATTTTTAGAGCAAACTTTCAGAGTGCTAAGAGAAAGATTTCCCTGGGCCCCTGAAAATTGAGTGCTTTGAGCAGGAACAGAAAGTTTGGCTCTTTTGGAAGCCCACGGTTGAGGGAAAGCAGGAGCTGATCAGCTAGCATAAGGATAAGAATTTCTTACCAGCCAGATTCCAGGCTCCACTCTGTGGAATCTGGTCACTCTCTGTTTATTTTTCCTGTCCAAAATCTTGACTGATGGGAGAAAAGGATTTGTGTGACTAGTGCCGGTGTATCGACTCTGTTGTACTTTCTGGTACTTTGTGGTAAGAATCATGTTGTTTCATCCTCTTTCCTCCCAGAATAGTCTTTTCTTTGTCTTTATCTTTCTGTGTTGCTCTGTCATAAAGAGGAGTAAGGAGTATAGCAGTACAGATGAGGGTTTTCTCTAATCTTGTTTTGTTTTTTTAAATTTTAATTTAATTTCTTTTTTTTTATACAGAGTCTTGCGCTGTTGTCCAGGGTGGAGTGCAGGGGCATAATCCGGGCTCACTGCAACCTCTGCCTCTTGGGTTGAAGCAATTCTCATGCCTCAACCTTTGTGTAGCTGGGATTATAGGCATGCACCACCACATCCAGCTAATTTTTATATATTTTTAGTAGAGACTGGGTTTCACCATGTTGGGCAGGCCTCAAACTCCTGGCTTCAAGTGATCTGCCCACTTTGGCCTCCCACCATCCTGGGATTACAGGCGTGAGCCACCAGTTCCCAGTCCTATTTTGTTTTTGTTTTAGAAACAGGGTCTTACGCTGTCACCCAGGCTGAAATGCAGTGGCATGATTATAGTTCTCTGTAACTTCAAACTTCTGGACTCAAGCCATCCTCCTGCTTTAGCCTCCCTAGTAACCAGGACTACTTTTTAAAAAATACTTTTGTAGAGATGGGACTCCCTATGTGCTCAGCCTTCTCATGAACTCCTGGCCTCCCAAAGCACTAGGATTACAGGTGTGAGCCACCATGCCAGGCCCGAAATAATCAATATGCCAGAGGTATATTGTTATACTGGTATATTGGGGTGGTGTATTCTGGTGTCTAACAGTCATATTTTGATAGAGTGTATCCAGAATAATCAACTCAGAACGTAGGTTGGTATCTTGAACTGGAGTGTTAGGGAGAAGGGACACAGTAAAATCACACATGCACACACACACACACATACACACCATGAGAAGATGAGTCTTAAATTTGCACCAAGAGTTGATTTCTTAACACTGAATGCTAAAATTACATTTATCTATTCAGTCACAGGCAGAGCTATACACACTCCAATTTCCCTAAGTGAGGCTGTGCAACTACAAAATGGAGAGAACTGAGAAGCAAGCCCAGCACAAAGCATGTGCTCACCACAGTTTTCAGTTGAGAATGAAACAAGGTAAAGCACAAAATACAGTTGGCGTGGTGTCTGTCACAAATAATGATTTTTATGCCACAAACCACACAATATGTGAGTAAACTAAAAGGGGAGGCAAGAAGCTGAAATTGCTTATGAGAAATTGCACCTTACAGATACTGGAGGAGTGGGGAAGATGATTTTCCCACTTACCCAACCATTTCAATGTATTGAGCTACACCGCAAAAAAAAACCAAATACAATTTAAAAAATAGGTTTCAAAAATTACAACTCAGCTTGGCATGGTGGCTCATGGCTGTAATCCTGGCATTTTGGGAGGCCGAGGCGGGTGGATCACATGAGACCAGGAGTTCGAGGCTAGCCTGGCCAACATGGTGAAACCCCGTCTCTTCTAAAAATACAAAAATTACCTGGGTGTTATGGCAGGAGCCAATGGTCCCAACTACTCGGGAGGCTGAGGCACAAGAATGGCTTGAACCTGGGAGGCAGAGGTTACAGTCAACCAAGATCATGCCACTGCATTCCAGCCTTGGCGACAGAGCAAGATTCTGTCTCAAAAATAAATAAGTGAACAAAATAAAAATAATTAAAAAAATAAAAAATCACAACTCTAATCTCTATGCTATTTTCAAGACATAAACTAAAAAATGGCACTAAAGATTGAAAACAAAGGAGTGGATACCTGAATTTAATCAATTCTAAGGTAAATGTTTTTATCATTTAGTATCTCTGAAACATGTATATATTTTTAAATGGGTGGCCTCTTACCATTGGGACACAGTACAATTTGCAGCATTCTCCTCTGTTAATGGTATATGTAATAATGTCTCAGGTGGCCCCTTCTTGCAGGGCTTGTAATCCCAGCTATGTTATTTTATTTTATTTTATTTTATTTTATTTTATTTTTTTGAGACAACATCTCCCTCTGTCACCCAGATTGAACTGCAGTGGTGCAGTCACAAATCACTATTCACTGCAGCCTGAATCTCCAGGGCTCAAGAGATCCTCCCACTTCAGCTTCCCTAGTAGCTGGGACTACAGGCACTCAAGACCAAATCTGACTAATTTTTCAATTTTTTTTCTTTTCTTTTCTTTTTTGTTTTTTGTAGAGGCAAGGTTCTTACTTTGTGCTTAGGGTGGTCTTGAACTTCTGGACTAAAGAGATCCTCCTGACTCAGCCTCCCAGAGTGCTGGGACTACAGGAGGGAGCTACTGCTCTGAGTCAGCTTTTCTGCTAAAATGCTCTGCTGAGGTGGAAATGAGGAGGGTGAAGCAGTGGGCGGGCATTTGTTTTAAAAAGGCTCTACCTAGGCTGTTCCTTTTGGTGAAGTGCTTGTAACTTTTAAGGTGGAAACGATGCCATTTTTCATTTATTCTCCCGTCTGTAAGACCAGAAGGCAATTGGAGGATCCTGGAATACGGGGAGAAACCAGGTAGCAGAAGAAGTAGTATGGTGGGAAGGGAAGATCAAAACAAACACCTTGGGAGTGGGTGAGAATTGCGACCCCAAATTGGGTCTCCTGACTTGTCAAGGCCCTTCTCTGGGCTCCTCTGCACCTGTCCTCTGCCCAGGTTCATCCAGAAAAGGATGGAATTGGTTGCATGGTGCCTTCAGGATGCGATTGGGAGATGATGCGTTTGCGTGGGAACGCTCTTGGTAGGGTCTGTAAATCTCTTGGGGGGGGGAATTACATCCGGATGTGTAGTTTTTTTGGGAAATGTGAAAGCTTATGGGAAAAATACGTTTTTCTTCCAAGCCGTGGCAGTTCCTTATTTCCTGTGAGGAAGGAGTTTATAGCCCCACTCTTGACTGAAAAGTGTGAGAGAATTCAAGCTCTTGAAAATTCAGCTGTTTGCATTTCCGGAAAGACAGAGAAAGCCTCAGTGATCCATTTCACAAATCAAGGGTATAGGAAAGTGGATGGCAATTTGAGATGTTTATTGGGTTTAGAGAGGGAACAGACGTCTGCCATCAATCCCACCTCCTGTGCTGGAGTCTTGCAGTTCATTTTTCTCTCTAGCCCTCTTCCAACTCCTATGCCCAATATCAAAGACATCTGACAGAGTTAACCATCAGAATCAACTAGCGGTTCCCACAGAGTTCCCTCCTGCAGGAGAGGTACCGGGACAGGTGAGGGAGACCTGAAGCTGCGGTCAGAAAACGCTGTGCCTTTTACGCTCTTAGGGAACCTTAGACCGAGAGTTTCAAGTGTCGAAGGCAAGCAGTTGTCGGCCCCTCCTGTAGGATCCTGTGGGTTCTGGACCCGGAAGAGAGCCTGGGAGCTAGGGGTGACCTGGAAGAGCCCAGTCACGGAGGCTGGATGGCTGTTTGCTGCGTAGGAAGCTGTTGGCGACCAGAATGGTTTTTACTTTGTTCCTGGGACCAACAGGATCTGCGTGGTTCTCAGGGCATAAGTCGACTACTCTCCCACTGCGCAACGCAATGCGTGGAATGCAAGAACAGTACAGACTTCCTGCCGGCCTCGGTGGCCAACGCCTGTGATCCCAGCACTTTGGGAGTCCCAAGCGAGCAAATCACTTGAGCTCAGGAGTTCAAGACCAGCCTGGGCAACATAGCGAGACCCCAGGCTCTAATACACACACACACACACACACACACACACACACACACACATATACACACACACGAATTAGACGGGGGTGGTAGCACTCACCTGTGGTCTCGGCTACTCTAGAGGCTGAGGCAGGAGGATCGCTGGATCCCAGGAAGTCGAGGCTGCACTGAGCCAAGATGACACCACTGCACCAGCGTAGGCCAGAGAAGAAAAAAGAAAAGGACAACAGACTTCCCTAAGCCTGTGGGGGACAGAGTGGGTAGAACCGGTAGCATTTTGGAGGCACCGAGCGCGCGGTTGGTCGGTCGCTGCACCGTTCCTTTCCCAGCGCCAGCGGTTTCTCACTGCCAACGCCACTCCTTTGTCAGCGTTATCGGATGCTCTCTGACTGCAACCTTCCTTCCGCCAAAAGTTGTCTTTTGCAGCTTTTGGCGGAAGGAAGGTTGCAGTCAGAGAGCATTCGATAACGCTGACAGAGGGGCAGGTAATCGCAGGGTCCCAGCGCCGCTGGTTTCACAACTTTGCGGGTGCCCCACCCCACCATCACCCGCCAGCAGCATAATCGGTGAACCGAGCCCGCGGTTTCTCCGCTGCGCCTTTGCCCATTGCGTCCTGCGAAGCCAGTGGACTCGGTGGTCGCAAGGTTGGTTTCACCAAGTCTGGCGTTTCTTGGCACGGGCACCGCTCTGCGCTTTGTGCTGGCCCAGGCCGGTCTCAGCACCGTTAGGTGCCCTCCAAAGGCGACTCTCTGTCATGGGTAGGAAAGCTGTTATGAGACGACAGTTTTTCAGAAGTTTCTAGTCGAGTCCAGCTGACAGTGGTTTCTGAATCGCAGAACCACTGGTTGCGCGGAGCTGGATGGTACTTCTGTGGCCGCCAATGTTTCTCTGTCGTATCCCCAAGGCTGTCGTCGAAATCGCGGTGTTACTCTGGCCCCACAGTCACGCGGGTAACTTCTTCAGTGGCTGCGGGGTTCCCTCCACTGAGTTGCTCGTTTTGATCTGCGCTTTGTCACAGAGACCAGAGCAGACACTTTTCTGTTTCTGTCAACTGCTAGCTGTGCTGTGCACAGTTTCCTTGTCTCCGTGCGGGGCTTTCTCCAGCCGAGGCCCTCTAGTGCCGGGGTCGCGGTCGCAGCACCCAGAGTTTCCATTTACTCTTTCGCCAGCAGCGCGGTGCCAGCGGTTTTGCCTTCACAGCACTTGTTGAACGGAGTTTCTCGGTGGCCGAACTTCTCTTTTTTTCTCAGAGTCGACGGTTCCTTGGTGACAGCACCGTTGGTTGCGCCAAAACGAATGTTGTACCTGACAACGTCGCTGGCTGCATTCCTTCCCAGGCTCCTGGCACCGCCATTTCGCCGAGCGGTGGTCTCTTGTTCGCAGTCCTGTGCCTCCATTTACCGGTGGCGGCAGCGCTCAGGCCACGGATCTGAGAGATTGGAAGTGGCCGGTGCCCCAGTTGGGCTGAGTCTGGCGTTGCCGGACGGACGGGTGCTGCAGGGCTGGGCGGGCGGAGCCCGACGCTCCTCGGAGCCGGTGACAGGGGAGCTGCAGGGGCACAGTCTCTTCCCAGGGCCGCCGCACGGGTTCCGGCTCGGCCGCCCCAACGTGACTCTTTCGCCACCAGCCGCCGGGCGCGGTTTTGCTTCACAGCACTTGTCTGACGAGTTCTCGGTGCCGCGAACTTCTCTTTTTTCTCAGAGTCGACGGTTCCTTGGTGACAGCACCGTTGGTTTGCGCCAAAACGAATGTTGTCCTTGACAACGTGGCTGGCTGATTCCTCCCAGGCTCCTGGCACCGCCATTTCGCCGACGCGTGGTCTCTTGTGGCAGCTCTGTGCCTCCGTTTCTCGGTGGCGGCAGCCTCAGGCCCCGGATCTGAGAGATTGAAGTGGCCGGTGCCTCAGTTGGGCTGAGTCTGGCGTTGCCCGGACGGACGGTGGC